TAATAAGGGAAACGAGTAATAGGTTTTAATATTATAACCTACCACTTCAGTGCTGACACAGGAAGCCAAACTTAGAATTTATTCATCATAACTGGATTTTGAAAAGCGATTAAAAACTACAGCAAAACTGAAGCCCTTTTAGAGGGAAAATTGCTTCTACCCCAGATTTGATACTGTCAAGAGGATATTAAGGAATGTTAAATTTAAGATTTTTCAAAAAGAATTAAGAATGAAAGAGTAAATCCTGCTGGAAAAGATGTGGCTTTACACTCTGCAAAGTAAGTAATACACAGAAGTGCAGTTTAACTTTTTATTACAATAAATAAACCCTACTTAGCTCCATAAGGTGCAGTAACTTTGTAGCTAGTGCATACTAATGCCACCCATGGTACCCAATTGGGTAAATCAAATATGAGTATTTAATCTGGTTTCATATGCTCTTAAAATTTTCAGGGAAAGAAAGAGTACGGAATGTGTAAGAAAGACAGTGTTTCTACACTACAGGTATGAAATCTGCGGCTTAAAAAAGTTAACACTTTAAAATCATTAGCCACGTGGAAGATTACTAATGTCAATAAGGGAGCCATTTCTTCTCTTCATCCTCAGTCTTTCACTCCTCATTAAATTTAGCAGGCTTTTAGAGCCCCATGCTGATAAAGTAAAACAGATACAGATGACTGAAGAGATTTTCGAGCCATCTATGCATGACTTTAGAATACTCACTACATTTGCTCTTGTTATACTCATGTTCTGGTATCATGAATATTACTAAGGGGTTGTAATCTATAAGAGGAAAGAGATTCCAACCTGGTACTTAAAAGAAAAAGTGGGGGGCCGGGGAGATGGCTCAGTAGAATAAGCACTTGCCTGGCAAGCGCAAGGGCCTGAGTTCAATCCCCAGTTCTGGGGGAAAAAAAAAAAAAAAAAGTGGCCACAAATAATTTTCATTGACAATCAATACCTTATGGTAGCAAACAGCTCTGATTTTTACTGTAAGGGTTTTTTAAAAAGAAGCCAAAAAAAAACAAAAACAAAAACAAAAAAAGTGAGAGAACAATTCCAGTTTTTTTCCCCAGAATGTGACATTGTCAGTATACAAAATAGTTTAACAAAATTAGTTCTCTTCTCCAAACAAAAATTAATGGTCATATAAGGTAAGTAAAGATGCTTCTCTTTGCCTTTAAGTTACAAAACTATGAACTTAGTTCATAAAACAAATGACATTCGACTGAGCCATCAATATTCTTCAGATTACAGTGGCATCTACTCAATTTAGTGGGAAATAATATTTAGGCAACTGTGATAATTTTCTCATGAATCTCAGCATTTATGGTACCAGAAGCATAACTGCCATGATTATAATTCTCTGAAAAGCACAAATAAAGCAAACTTAAATTTCTATAAGCAGTACAAAGAATAAAAGTGCTGAGCAATAGGAAAACGAATAAAAACTTCATTATCAGGAGAACAAAGTTTATGTAAACTATGTATCATATCCTGAAAAATCACCCTAATGACCACCTAAAAAATATAGAATTTCCTAAATGTTCTCGTTTATAGATAAAATTTTACAGTAATTTATCCTATAAAATTACAGCAAAAATAGTTAAAATTATTAACCTCCTTCTTAAATATCCATAGTATTTGCCAACTGCATGTCCCTGGTAAGCATACAAGTTAAATAATAATCAAAAACATGGATGGGAGAAAGTGGCCAGAATCACACACATGACATCCTGTGTATGGTATCAGGTAAAGAAGCTACATTAAAACAAAATCAAGTCTTCTCAAATTCTGGGTATACTAGAAAGTAAAATTCCATGTTGCTGATTAACTACATAAATTCTAAGGATACAACAGGAGGCTCAAGGAGCTCCAGATGATGGTGACGTAGCATAAGCATGCTCACTAAGAAAAGCAGATAGTTAAGTGACAGCACGGTAACCTGAAAGACGCCGTCTCAAAATAAAGATGCTTTACTGAGCACCTTAAGAAAAAAATGAGAATTCTTTTGAGCTGTGACCAAAACTGGTCTGTATGTGACTAAATCTGACAAATAAATAATACTACATGGCTATAGAAGATTTGAGGAAGGAGCCTGACATCAGAAATGGAACTAGATCCAAGGAAGAATTCTATTCTGCCTAATAAGTGGCTCTTCTATTATACTGGAATAAAATCAAATATGAATGGTTTTACACATTTAAAAAAATCACCTAGGAAATTTTGGACTTTTATATTATGTGACTCAATCCAAAAGTTCTTCCAAGAAAAAGGCAGAGGTGCAATTAATCATCATCTGGGAAGGTTTCTCCCAAACGAATTTTAATATTTTCCAGGAAAAACAAGGCACTTGCTCAAATTTTTATCTACACATCCACCAGACTAAAGGTCATGATTTGACTCCATCTGCACCCTAATCTGAATAAAGCCACTTACCACATAACCTGCATGAGAATCTGGTGGTATCTTTTACTGAATGTCTCTCTCACTCCCTTGTCCAGTAACTGTTGTTCTAGTTACTGTAAGTTACCATGGTGTTGACTTTCATTGCATCATAAAAAAGTAAAACGCCACACTGCAAAGTGTAACTGATACTAGAATTTACGCAAACCAATGAACTCTAAAGAGCCATGAAACAGCACTTGATGAGTGCTCTAATTTTTCTTTTCATTTATTCCAGAAAACTGATGCCCTTACTGAGGGAAAAGTCCAGTGTAATAAGATAGAAACAAACATTACGCCCAGGGTTTTTTTTTCAACTTTCTCTACATGGCAGCACTGCCGGCAGCTGGCTAATGTATATCAGCCCTCCTTACCGGTGGGAGTACCAAAAAGGCCATATTTCTCTCAATTAAAACAGAAAGCATGTGTACAACTATATGTATGAATTTCATCCTAGAAGCTGCCTTAATTTTGGCTCAAGATAACAAAAAGAATTACTCTGAAGGTAGCTACTGTGCTGCTGGCCAAGAACAAGAACAAGGAAGATACGCAGGGATAATAAATGCAGATCTCTTCTTGCAAGAGGATAATCCATTTCTGTAATTACTTTTGGCTAATGCAATCTTCAATGAGTTGCTTTACCCTTCTTGTTCTTTTCCAAATATGGCACTATAATTTTGATAGTGGCTAGCTCACCTCCCTTTCCAGATATGTTTCTAACAACCCAAAATTTTCTATAATCATTTTACATGCCTTTTCTGGGGCAGAATACACCACGGCAATGCCATGGAACAATAAGAAGAAACTGAAGTCCAGGCGTAATGGCACATGCCTGTAACTCCCAGCACTGGGAAGGCTGAAAATAGGAGGATCACTATGAGTCTGAGCTGCACAGTTAGACTCTGTACTAAATACATTAAAAGAAAAAAAAAAAAAAAAAAAAAAAAAAAAGGAATTGGGAAGGTGAGAGGGAAGGAGGCACAAATAATACTTTAGGGAAAATAAATTACCTGAGATAAAATTTGCCCCACATAGTTGGAGTTAAATGACATGAACCCGCACCTCCTTACCCTACCTCTCAAGAAAATTTCTAGTTTTTCAGTAATTTCAAGGAATCAAAATTCCTGTGTATATATTCCATCCTAGAAGAATTGTGAAAACTGCATCTTTAGTAATATTTGGTTCCAGTTTAAGAAAGACATTAAGATTAAGCTTCTAATAATAAAAGGAGAAAGAATCTGCAAATGGCATCTTTGGTAGAATGAGATAAAAGCTATAAAATGACAATTTAAATCACAGTAGGCATCTTTTTTCAATTTTGTGGCTTTAATATAAAATATTTAATTCAATCATGGTTATTCAGGCTCATCAATTCTTCCTTAGCTCCCTTAAAATCTAGTTAGCATCTTCTGTAATAAAATTCTACAGTGTTACACACTACATATAGGTATGAATACATCTGCATAAGAGGATGATCGAAGAAGGCTGGGAAGTGCAGCATCAGTGTTAGCAGCACACTGCATGACTAAGCTCAGAAGCCTACCTGCAGTTTATTTGCAAGGATTTCTTCATTTCCTTGCAGGTTGGGGGAAGAGGTACATGTGCTAACCTCAAATTCTTGCCCTTAAAAAAAAATTGTCTTTATTTTGTTTATCAGCAGGTATATAAAGATCTGTTATCTCTAGTTACCACAAATACAGCTACCTATGTAACTATTTATGGAAAGATTAGTTCTTCAAAATACTGATTCTACTCTCTTGAATTCTGACTTGCCCACCAACCAACCAGTCAACTTCTAAAACGGCAAAACGAAAAATAACTGTTGTTCTTTCTAAGGGCACATACTGGGGACCATGCTAAAGGCCCTTTGGTAATTCACAAATCAGCCTCCTTACAACAAATTTGGCTTTATAATAAGTATTAAGGGAGAGTCCTGAACAATTTTGATTATTATAGTAACTAAAATGTCAAATAGTGATTGCTTGAACATGCAAATTCTAATCAGGCTTTCAGTTATCTGCATGGCACACACAGAGACTATGAGGAGACTCCAGCAGGAAAAGATACAAAAATTTTTTCCTTAGGAAAAAACAAATAATTTCATTCAGGTAAGGAAATAGAAAAAAAAAAAAAATTGTAACATATATAACTTGTCTTTTTGTATAATCAGTGCTTTATAAAGATCTCCTTGCTTTTATACCTTTAAAAACAAGCTACCATATGGTGAGAATTCAGACTCAGAATTCTTAGATTCATGTAATGAACCTGTATCCACAAATTCATGCATACTGGCATTCTCTACTCAGAGACACATTAGACTGCTAGGAATCCTTTAAGAACTGAGTTTTCTTTCTACCTCTACCTTACTATATAGATCTATACCTTTCTTTACTTCAATACAGTCAAAGCTAGACCACTTGGGATGTTGTTCTTCTGGCTTCTCTTCAGCTAAGGACAGAGGCAGAGAATGGGGAAGGGGAAAGGTGAGTGAGGGAGAGGCACAAGAGACAGAAAAAAGGATCCTTGATGATAGTCTCTTTGCCTTTTTTCTTTTGCCTTCAATGTACCTCTAATCTTTTAAATCTCAACTTTCCATCATGATAGGTAGAAGCAAATCTTGAGAAATTGTACAATTATCATAGAAGATTCAGTACAAAAAGATGAGCCACTGCAAGGTCCAAAGCACACTGAAGAATGGGATCATCTCCATGTACCAAAACCTCTTCTTTGTTCCAATCACTTGAAGAGTTTCAGTGTAACCCTGGTCTCTTCTCCAGTTTGTTCTGAGGCTCTCAGGAATGAACTGTTTCATCACTTACATTCTATCAGACACAACAACTCTGAAAATACATGTATCTTCATTCTTACAGGTGTGAAACAAGTTAGGCAAGAGATGGGTACAGACTGTATCAGCTCACAAGAGTCACACCATAAAGGACACTGACTCAAATTTCTCTAATCTTTCAACCTGCACACTCACTCAAGCAAACATACTAGACATAAAAATTGTGCAAGATCAAGCATCAGCTTTCTATTTTAAAAGCCTTAATAACAATTTTAAAATGCAGATAGGCTCACTGCAGTTTCTTTAAAGGAATATAGGTACTACAGTACTTCTTTAAAAAAAAAAAAAAGTCACAACTCAGTGTTAACACAGTAGGTAACTGCTGCTTACCAATTACTTAACATTACCTAGAGCATCCAGTGCCAGTTATGGATTTCAACAATAAGAACCACCTGACAACAAAAGGGAATAATCTGCAATTGATGCCACCAACCTTAAATTTGTTAATATTCACTATGACATACTATTCATCCTTGCTTCATGATCACATGAAATAATAACATCTTTGGAGGTTACATACGGAAGAGCAGCACCTGCCATATTGCACAAAACAAGGCTGCCCTCATGGATGCTCTACAACCTCTCAATGTATAGCTGAGAGGTCTTGTCCTACTTGGTGCCAAATGTTTGTAATGCAACATTGCTAGGGCAATGACTGCACATTTGCAGGATTAAATAAATGTACAAAGTACCCTTTAAAATGGTAAAAGGGTACTCCTGCATTCAGATGTAGAATACAATGATCCAGGTATGGAAGTGGAAAAACAGTAGTCCTTAGGTTACTGATTAAAGCAAGGTTTGATACAGATATCCCCTCTTGTAGGCACTCAGTGGGTAGAATGTAGCCACAACAAACTTCCCATCAAACATCCTTCCAGTCAGTAATTTTTGAGCAGCTTTGGAATCACCAGCATTTGCATACTCAACAAAGACCTGAAAGAGAATACAGAAAACAAAGTCATTTCATTTCTACCATGATCAGCACTCTACAAAATTTAATGCATGCAGTCACACAATGAACAACAACATACTGATGAATGATGAACAGCATAAGACACAAGTCCCATAAGATTACAACAGACCTGGAAATTTTACATTGCCTAGTACTTCTGCTACATTTTTCCTGTGTTTAGGTAAATTAGATAGACCAATTATTACCACTGTATTCCTACAATACTTAGTATGGTAGTAGAATGCTGTACAGATTTATAGCCTATACACAAATGGCTATATCATAAAGGTGAAGTGTTTCACAGGCTACCTAGATAAATACCCTATATATCAGGGTGCCCAACCACAACATCACCTAGCAATGCACTTCTCAGAATCTGACCCATCATTAAGAAACACATGATCATGTACCACTCAAGGATTTTGTTAAAAGGCAGATTTTGCTTCTGTTAGGATGCCCAAAGCTTGGCCAGAGTTTCTGCATTTTGCAACAAACTATAATGCCAATGCTGATGGTCCAGGTACCATAATTTAGAGCAGCAAGATTTAAAACTGTTCCTCAGAATTCAGTCCAATTCATTAAAACTATTAAAGTCATTAAATTCATTAAAGACAAGTTGACTGAAAAACAACTTATGAAAAACATAATTCAGATGATTAACAGCACTGCACTGCTGAAGTACTTCTGAACAAAGAGCAACTCCATTTCAGCAGTGACTCAAAGATAATCTGCTCTTTCACAAGTTTAACAAGGAAAATGTATTTGTCAAAACCCACTGGAAATTATTAAAAAATTTGGAACAACTATAAACCATAACTAGTAATAAGGAAGAAGTTCAAAATTAGGTAATTTTCCTTTCCAGACCTTTTGAATTGTGAGGTAAATTATTGTGTTATAACCTTTCTGTATAAGTTCATTTTACTGACTTAAAAGTTACAGCAAAGTAAAATGATCTAGAAAGACTTCCTCCTAGTTACCTATAAGCTGGAGAATGTGACAAAAACCTGCCCCTCTTTCCTCAATTGTACCCCTCATTCCTTATTTCAGTAGTCTTCACACTGAAGATCAGACATCCTACAACATTTAGAGACCTTGAAAGGAGATGCAGAAACAGAACATTTTAAGGAAACCAATTTTTAGATCCTTAACTTTCATTTGTACATTTTCCTAAAATCAACCTACCTCAAAATGTGGGCAATTTTTTAAAAAAAAATTTCCAGTTCTCTTGCATGGAAAAAACAATCAGTTATTTCCACAGGGTATAAAGACTTCCACAATATGAGAACATAAAATTTCTAATACAATAGTCTATTTTTATGAAATTCTCCTTCATTGATAATTAAAGTCCCAGGGGCCAGCCAAATAGCTCAGCGGATTAAGGCACCTGCAGGCGCAGGGACCAGGGGTTTGATCCCTGGGCCTGCCATGCTGGCCCCGCACCCCTGGGGTGTGCTGAGATGGTAATTGAAATTGGGCATGGTGGTGTGCGCCTGTAATCCCAGCTCTTGGGAGGCTGTAAACAGATGGATTACTAGGAGTCCTATCTAGTAGTGAGACCCTGAACAGCCTGTAGACCCTTCCCTAAAAATACAAAAAAAAAAAATAAAGAAAAGATAATGAAAGTCCCATCCCCTGCCAATACGGTTCACTCCCTTCTTAGGCAAAAATTTCTGTTAAACCTGATAAAGGATATCATACCTAGGAATTCTGGCCTGTGATAGGGCTTTCTAAATTTATTGACAGTACACTGAAAGCTGGAGAGGTAAGCCCGATTCTGCTTCTTCAATCCTTTGACTATTTCCGTGGCTCTTAAACATAAAGGTGAGATCATCTAATGTGAAAAACTTCCTTTTCATGTGTATAAAGATAACGGGTATCTGTCATCTATTCTTTTTTTTTTTTAAATTTATTTATGTGTGTGTGTGTGTGCACGTGTGTGGCCAGCTCAGCACACCTGGGGGAGGGGCTGGCTGGCATGTGGTGCTGGGGGATTGAACCATGGTCCCTGTGCTTTGCTAAGCTTGTTCAAAGTAGGTGCTTTAGACCACTGAGCCATCTCCCCAGCCCCTGTCATCTATTCTTGTTTTTGGTTTTTTTTTGCTTGTTGGTTTTTGGTTTTTTTGGTGGAACCGGGGATTGAACTCAGGGCCTTGCGCTTGCAGGGAAGCACTTATTCCACTGAGCCATCTCCCAAGCCCCTCTGTCATCTATTCTTTTTTTTTTTTTTTTTTTGCTCCTCGAATGCCTTCAGGGCACTTTTGGCTGGCTGGAGTGTTGTGGGGATCGATCTACAGCAACCTGAGGCTCAGAGCCTTGTGGAAGCAGCCACTTAAAGAACTGAGCTAGGGACTTGCCCCCTGTCATCTATTCTTAAAACCCATCACTAAAATGTGCAATTTACTGGAAATAAAAGTTGTTCCAAATGGCCAAAGCAGTATTCTCTGGCTATTTAAGTGAAAATATAAAATTATGTGATTGCTTTCAAAGTAGGTATAAGACAGTTAAAAACTTATATTATCAAAACTATCATGAAATATATAACTTTCTATCTTTAATCTTTAAACTATTTTTTACTAAAAATAAAAGTATAGCTGGTTGCAGGACTGATTTTAAGCATATATGCTTTTTCATTAAGGGCAAAAGGAAATTCAAAACCTAATACCTAATGAGAATTAGTCTGTTTCTCACTTTTTTCCTTATTCTTACTTCCAAATCTGTACACCAAAGTTCAAAGAGACATTTATGAAAGGAATAGCACTTTATACATTCTTCCTCCTTCACAGACAACCTACAATTTTACATATTACATTGTTTCATTCTAAATAAAAAAGGCATCTTGTTTAACTTACTATGATATGAAATCATTAACTGTAAGCTTTACTATTTTACATTTTAAGTTTTACTAGTTTTTGTACTTATAGTATGTATTCATAATTTATATTTTTAATGTCATTCTACAGCTAGTAATAGTACTTGTTTTTCTACTTTGTGTCTTCCACTCATTTTGACCACTGAAGTTAACAATGAGTCAGATCATGTTTAATCTTAACTTAAAACCTTCCAATACCTCCTTATTCACAGTAAAAGCCAATGTTATTTCACTCTACTTGTTCTGCCCCCTACACTCCCTGAGCTGTTTTTTAATCTACTATTCCTTGCCTTTTTCACTCTGCTTTACCCACACTGGTCTCCTTAAATCTGCCTGGCTTTCTCAAGTACTTAGAACTTAGGTTTCCTTTACCTGTAATTTATCTCATTACTTCACTCAAAACTCTTTTTTCTTTGGTGGAACTGGGGATTGAACTCAGGCCCTTGCACTTGCCAGGCAAGTACTTATTCCACTGAGCCATCTCCCCGGCCCCTTCACTCAAATCTTCACCAAAATGTGAACTTGCTAGTATGGCCTTTCCTACCACATGATGGAAAAGAGCAACACATTCTACGCCAGCACACTTCAAGCTACTTCCTCATTCTACTTCCCCCCTCACATTTAATCACTATAGTTTCTTAGTGTTCCAATTGCTACTGTATGTCAAGTGCCTAGAATGTAACAGAGCACTGGTTAAAGGACTAAACATCAAGGATACATTCCACATGCTCTTGACAATGAAGGAGGTAAATGGTATTATTAGATTAGCAGTAACTTTTTACTAAGACTAGCATGAAATTGCATTTATTCTTTTACCTAAGACATTTTATACACTAATTGCATGCAATAAAATACTCCACAATCAGTGAGTATTCTACCACTGATCCTCACATGGACATCTGGCAACAACTAGAGAAACATTTGATTTACCAACCAGGTGAGGGCATGTCTAGTGGGTAGAGGCTGAGGATGCTTTTACTGTTTAGTAAAACTACTAAACAACTATCAACAACTATCAGGTCCAACAGCCAAAAGTATCAAGATTGAGAAATTCTGAGATACAATAAAGCAATAGTCTGTTTCTCTAAAAATTAAAATACAATCCTCATCTGATTGTTTTATTTTAAAGAGAATAAAAACTTTAAAAATTAAAAATGATACAGAATTTCTCAACAAAATGACAGGGAATTAACAATGGCTGGTATATTATACACTGTTATCTTCAAAGTAGGTGTTGAGACTGCCAGATATAAGCATGCAAAATTATCAAAAGAAAAAATTAAGCATTAATAATTTCTTTCAATAAACCAATAGACGGGCTGGGGAAATGGCTCAGCAGAATAAGCGCTTCCTGGGCAAGAGCAAGGGTCTGAGTTCAATCCCCAGTTCCACCAAAAAGAAAAAAAAAAAAAAGAAAGAAAGAAAGAAGTTCAAAAGAAGAAGGAAAAGTCACACACAAAAAAGTAAGAACA